GACTAATCAAAGGACAAATATGTTAATGAGAAGTGCCCTTGTAACCTGTGAATAGTCAAATGCAGATAGCTCTATCTTACAGACTAGGTTGAGTTTCCTTCTGCTCCTGGTAGGGAAATGAGAGAAGACAAAGTTATCTTTTCCCTCTTCTCACAGTCCTGTTGTCATATTGTCCTTAGTTTGTGTAGTAGTTCTACTTCATCACTTGTTATGACTCCTTCACTCTAAGAAGTTATAGTAATATATTATTTTTAAGTCTATGTGATTCCCATTTTTCTTCTGGATTAATTTGTCTATAACCAGGACATCTGTCTCAAACTTGCTTTTCTCCCTCAGAAACAAAATTACACTCTCTGAAAATACAACTCTTTTCCTCGAGTAAGAATAACGATGTCAGGACTTAGGTTGCACCCTCCTAGAGGTGTTTAGTAAAGGATGTCTGACTACCTACCGAAGATTTCACAGAGCTGAAATTAGATTAAAAGTCCCTTCGAACTCTAATACTCTGTGATAAAAGAACTTACTCGATTTGTATCCATCAAATATATATAGCTGATATAAATTTGAGTGAACCTGAGCATATTTCTTAATAAGTTTAATTTTCCCAACTGCATTTACAGGGCCCAGAGTAAGAATTCAAATAGAAACTCACATGTCAAATGTCTAAATATTAAAAGTTATGAACGAAGCTACAAATTGTTCAATATGATATGTTTCGTCCTCCTACCTCAGAAAATATACTTTCATAGCAACCCAGAAGGACAAGTTTGAACTTCGAGTTGTATGTAGTACTTGTGTGATTTCCTTGTTGGGGCGTGAAGGCATGGGGAGATGTGGTCCCAGGCGCAGCCTTGCAGCTGGTTACCCTCTCTTTCCAACTTCAGCTTCGTCCTTTATGATGCATGTGGCCTTCTCATCCTGTGTGTTCAAACTGCCCACATTTCCCTGCAAACACTGCCCAGTGGGCCCAGGGATGCACAGAGGGGTCATATGTTCCAGCCCTGGAAATAAGGACCTTGGAAAGAGCCCTGTGCAGGTCCACGTAGCAAGGAAATCCAGGGTGCCAGGTACCACTGAGTCATAGCACAATACTTCTCAACCAGACTGTAAAATAAAAGATTTGTCTTTATTTTCCATCCATCTTGAGTGATACTTTTGTAATACGAAAGAAAAACAAATTCCTAGAAAAATGAAATAGAAACACATGTAAACACAATTCCATTGTTTGTTTTTTCATTG